TATATATAGTGTATATATATATATATGCGTATATGTATATATATATATATATATGTGTATATATATATATAAATTAATATATATTTACATATAAATTAGAAGAAGGTATGAAAAAGAGTTCAAATTTTTACCCAATTTAAATGACTTAGTTAATATTTTAACTGTAATTGGCATTTAATTGCGGAGACGACTTTTAACAAGTATCATATCACCACCATATACACGTTGGGAAAATAAGATTGCTCCTCCCTAGAATTAGAAATAAACTTTATAATATTTTAATAATGTTATTTGGTTTTAAAATGAAAAAGAAAATTAGATATAAAACCTTCTCTATTTGTGTCCTTTATTCTGGTTCAGTAATTGCTTGATTTTGTCCCAACTCGATGGGAATTACCAAATTAGTCGATTCCGCGCTGTCTCCGTCCCGATTCCTCGCCGTGCGGCCATGCTGCGACCGCTGCCCCTGCTCCTGCTGCTGCTTCTCGCGGTCGTATTTCTCTCCTCGACGATCCGGCTTGGCGGCGCCCACGAGCACGACGAGGAGGAGGACGAGTCGAGCTGCGAACAGAGCCCCGACGTCCGAGTCGACGCCGAATTCCGGCCCGGAATCGTTACCGTCGACGGACGCGCCGAAGACTGGGCCGATGTTGCTGGTCCACAGCTCGCCCTCCTCCCCGCCCTCGATTTCGATGAGGATAAGGCCTATGGTGGCGGCCCGATGACCGTCAAGGTGAGGCTTTCGTTTTTCTCACTATAAGGTTACAATTGTTTTCCCAATTTTTCGCTCTTTTTCGTGGATCAACGTGTGTAACTCTTAACTGACTTCGGTAAGCTGCAGATTGAAGTTGTAGATGCATTTTGGCTGCTGTAATCTTTTAGCCAACGAGATCTTGGACCAATGCCTGCTTGATCTACGACCATGATGAATTCATTACAGGAAATGGGAATTATGAAAGTATTATAAGCAAAATCTAAATTAGAAGTTATACGAAGCATGTGTAGCATGTCATGGATATGTGTGTCAGAGCCATACGAAGGATACCGAAAATAAATGTCGATAAACCACTGTTGCTTGATGTCTTCAACGTGTGAGAAGTTATTGTATACTAGGATTTGCTACTGTTTGTGATTGACTTGGTAACCTTTTTGAGCCTTCGCATTGGTATGCTAAAGGATGTCCATGTAGGGATATGGGAGTTCAGTTATCTTTATAAATGTATCTTGAATTCAAAGAAGTGGTAGACCTGCTAGTTAGAAATATGAACCTAGAAGGATCTGTTAATGCATATTATTTGAGCTAACTTAAAGAAGAGGAGAATGAGGACTGGATTCTATCATCTTAGAGATGAACCAGGAGCTTTGCATGAATCCCTGAAGTTTCTATTGTCGTGTATCTTTTCATCAATTTGTGAAAAATATCACCATGCCTAGCCCATCCAGTTTGTTATCCTTCTATCTGCTCAAGTTTAGTCTGAAACTCAAGCAAGAAAAATGCCCTTTTAGTCTAAAAGGTGACAAGTTTTCCATTGCAATGAAAGTTTGACTCCCTCTCCTGTATGTCAGGATGTGTATGCGAGGTTGTCCACGACATTAGTTATAATACGGATAGAGTTAGCAGTAATTATCTGTAGCAACTGGTTGAGGGACTGTACCTCTGAAAATGTTGTTTAGTTTTGCAAAATTTATTTGCATCAACACTTCCTTTCGGATGAACTTGATTTTGATTGTCAAGTTATCAAAAAGCAAAAAAAAAAAAATGCAAATAAGCTGATTTTTTCCTTTTTGGCACAGCTTGAATTCATTAACTGTGAAAAGACGAGACTTGTTGAATGCTCCTCTCTGCAGTTTTTTAAAACAAAGGATCGTTTGTAGAATTGTTTCCACCAGAAAGTTCTCTTTGAGAAAATAGTCTCTTATTTTAGCCTATTATGGAAGAAACCTGAAAAACCTAGTGAACAGCTATACACTTGAGACTATTCTGTATTCTATACAAGACTATAATTTTTTCAGCATTCTATAAAAATCTTAGTATGTCTTCTCGTATATCGATATTGGCGCAAGTCTTGTACATTAGTCCATCCCTTTTTGTACAGGCATTAATAAGTTTGGTGAAAAAGTAATGTTGTACTAATCTTTTTCTTGATGTGTTCATAGTTTTGTTTTCTCGTGTTTAGATCTACCGAGTTGAACATGCTAGATTTCCTTTTTTTTCTTAGAGAAGAAAATTTTACAAGTACCAAAGCTCATGAAAGATTGATGCCCAAAATGTAGGTGAAATCCCAAGGAAAGATCAGGATGCGTATAAGTAAAACCATGAGCCATTGTTGATTCGCTAATCGGACATTGTCAGCTTCCTCAAAATATGCACATTTTAAATTTCAAATTTTGCTTTAGAAATATTCATAATAAACAATAGTAGTTTCAATGCGTCGAGGAGGATATCATTGATGATTGAGGATGTTGTTTGATGAGTCATCCTTGACTCACAATGTAGTATGTTAGGACTCTAGCTAGGAGAGCCCTAATTGAATTTTAATGAAAGGGGCATTCATGTAAAACCTACCTAGCCGACCCCTATTAAAGAGGTGAAGAGGCCGGCTAGGGTTAGGGTTAGTTGGGAGGTTGCTTCTTAAAGTAGGAGTTTTATTAGGAATCTTGAGTAGGAGTCCTATTAGGAGTTAGGGTTTAGAAGCCCTATAAATAGTCATGTATTCATCCTCTTTTGACAAGCAATATATGAATCTTTTTAGCAGCCTTTGAGCAGCAACTTGAAGGAAGGAACCCCTATAGAGTTCCAAGGAGGCCGATCCCCTAAAGAGATCAACCCCAAGCATAGAATCCGCTAGGGTTCTAACACTTGGTATTAGAGCAGTGTTCTTGGCGTCTCGCTGCCCTTCCACAGCCATCCATCAGCCCTCCACAGTCGCCCAAAGCAATTCCCACAATTGCTTAAAAGGTCGTCGCCGTCATCTCCACCACCGCGGATCATCCTTTGATCTCCTCGTGAATTACAACAGGTTCTGGTTTCCTACCTTATTGCTGCTGTAATTTAGTTATCCTTATTTAAAAATCCAGCCATCCATTAGCCTTCCACAGCCGCCCAA